CAAAATCCTGCGTCCAGCCGTCCCCGCTGCGTCCAAGTCCCCCGGGTGCCTGTGGCAGGGTTCGGGGGACACGGGTGGGGCTCAGTTCCTGGATGAGGACAGAGCTGTTTTGGGGTGACCAAACCAGCGTCATCACTTCTCCTTTCCCGGTCCAGGAATTCCTAAATGAAAGCCTGAAGAAACCCACCCGGCACTTCTGGATCGGCCTCTCGGTGCCTGTGGCCGGGACGGGCTGGACGTGGGAGAACGGCTCCTACCTCGACCAGGACCGGTGGGCGCCGGGGGGAGCGCTGGGAGGGCACCCCATTGTCCCCGAGGGACCCCCGAGGGTGACACGGGCTCCTTCCTGCCACCCGCAGGTTCCAGCTGGACCTCGAGAAGCGACCTGGAGCCTGTGGAACGCTCAAGGGGAACGGGATCTACCCTCAGAACTGCCAGACGAGGCTGCAGTGGATCTGCCAGAAAGAATCTGCTGAAATCTGAGCCTCCACTGCACCCCGAAACCAGTATTAATGCAGGAAAAAATCCCAGTTCCTGCGGGGATGGGCAGAGCCGCAGCCGGTGAAAGTCTCCCCGAGGCGGGCGATGTAAGGGGGAAATCGACCTAAAAAAAACCCGAATAAAACCTAAAAATAACTTGGGGAATTGCACTTTTGGGAAGAGGGAGGGAGAAATGTGGCGTTTCAAGGGGTTGTGTTGGTGCCGGGATGATCCGAGCTTCAGCCGGAGAGGGGAAACTTGACACTGATGATCCAGAGTGTCCCAGCCCGTGTCCCCTGTGCTCCCCGTCGTGTCCCTCCCGTGTCCCCACCGTGTCCCCCCCGTGTCGGAGCCAGTCTAAGGGAGCCCAAGGCCAGCCACAGCCGCCGGTCCTGGCAGCTTTTGTCTGGGAGGAATCCTCGGATATTCGCAATTTTAGGAGGCGGAATCCCACCTTCGGCACCCGCAGCCTCTGAGCCCATGCTGGCCTGTGCGGAGGACCAAGGCAGCTCAAGTACAACGAAACAGCGATTAATTAGCTTAATAAACGGCTCCTAATTAGCGGGTAGGAGAAGTGAGGCCCCAGGGCTTCCCGCTGAGGTGGTGCGGCTCCGCGCACAGGGCTGGGAAAGCCGGGCCGGGAGCTCTGCAAAACGATGCGTCCATTTTTAGATAAATCTGGCATTTCACGGATCGATTCCCGACGTTTTACGCCTCTTGCAGCGGCAATTTATTGATTCGCATCTCTCAGAGACCAGGACGAACATTCTGATCTTTTATTTTTACCATTTTAGGGGGTTGAGGGTGGGGTTTTTTCTCTCGCTGTAGCTCGTGTGGCTCTCCTTGTCCTTTCCCCCGTGGGGAGCAGCCCCGTATGCCCGGTTTCCTTCCCATGGAGACAAACCCTCGCTGCCCCCAGCCCCTCCCCGGGGTGTCAGGGCGAATGTCCCCAGCGGCTGTCGGGCTGTGGTGGGGGCAGGAAGCTCCAGTGCCGCTGCCAGCTCGCACGACAGCGGGCCAGCACCAGCGGGCAGAGATGCTTTGGCTTCCTGTCCCCAGCCCAGTGTCACCATCCCTCTGTGTCCCAGAGGTCACTGGGCGGATGGGGGAGCATGGCTGTGGACCCCGCGGACAGAAAACTGGAAGTACATTCCTAGGAGGTGTATCGGCACCTCCACAGGAGTTGCGGCAGGTCGGGAAGGTCCGAAGCGCACACGGCAGCGGCTGCTCCCCGGATGGAATGCGGGCGCTTGGCACGGAACCCATCCCAGGGCGATTCCCACCCACACGAGGGGGAAGGAACACAGGGTGGGGCGGCGACGTCGTTGGAGGTTTTGCCCCTGATAAACCAGGGGAGAGAAGGGAAGGTGTCCTGCAGCCGACCCGGCGATTGAATTCCTCTCCTTGAATGGACTCGGTTCATTAAACCCTTTTATTACTATTATTATTATTATTATTATTATCATCATCATCATCATCATCATCATCATCATCATTAACACTCCATCTCAAAGTTACCTCCCTCCACCCCAAAGTCACCCCCTCCAGAGCACGGCTCCTCTCCCCGGGCACTCCCAGGTGGGTCCCAGGGGGTCCTGGGGTGGTCTCTGGGAGGGTTACATGGGGGGTCCTGGTTGTGGGTCCTGGAAGGTCCCCATGGGGCCCTCTCTAGGACCCTCCCAGGAAATTCCAGGACCACCCAGGACCCCCCTTGGACCTCTCAGGACCTCTGACACCTCTGGGACACCCATGGTACTGCTCCCCTACCCTAGACCCCTCCGGGACATCCTGGGATGCCTTAGGACCCCTTAGGACCTTCCAGGACACTCCCAGGAAGCCCAGGAACGTTGGAGGACTGCACCTAGAAGAGGACAGCTCTGGCTGGCCTTGGCTGCCTCAGGCTGCCCCCAAGGCATTTTGAGTGATGCCCTTCTCACCCTCTGGAAAAGAGCCATCCTTCACAGACAGGCACCCCTGGCTGAAAGTGGGAGGAGAAACAGGGGTTTGTTCCATTCAGAAAGTAGTTATAATTCCCCTTCCATTTCTTTGGGGGAAGACACAAAGGAAAGAATCTCTCCTTTCTTTCAAACTCAGCTGCTTTCAGACCCGACTTTTGCATCAGAACATGAACCCATTGGTCCTGCTGGATTGGTCTCTGTGTCAGCTTTTCTCTCACAAATGTGTGACCTGTAATACCAATGCACAGGGTAATGCCAACCCCCCCGCAGGATCCTGGAGCACTGCAAAACCATGAATAATTTGGATTTTTCTTTCTCCAGCTCCCTTCCAAGCAGTCCTTTAAAGGAGGTGTGAGAGCTCTGTTTTAGCGTGGGCAATGTTGGCCAGGTGATGCTTGGCCTCTCCTGGGAAAGGCAATTCCCTTCTGTGGGAGAGCAGTCACTTTGGCACAGTCTCAGCATTAATCCTGCCATCTGTGAGCAGAAGCCAAGCTACTCTGTTACTTTAAAAATTCATCTGAATAGTGGGAAAACCAGTTTCTGCCTGGGCTGTGTGATAGACCGAAGAAAAATGGAAATGAGTTCAGAGCCCTCACTCATTTGCTCTTGTGCCACCATTGTCCCCTCACTTAAATGGCTCCTCTCCCTCCCTGGTGTGGCTTTTCCTCTCCACTTGGATAATCATAGCAAGATATTCCCTTCTACCTGCTCTTTTAGCCATATGAAACAATCCCAGCTCCTTGTTTCCCGGCACTGCGAGAAGGTGTGCGTGAAAGTTAGCGAAGCTCGCAGTGATGCATCCGAAGAGACTCTTTTCACAGGGCTGAAGGAGCAAACAAGATTTCTTCTCGCACCCTCGAGAGCAAGATGTTGCTTAGAGTACATAAATGTGGGTCTTAAGGCTATTTTTCCAAAGAGCAACGTTTTTCTTGAGGGCTGGGGTCACTGGGGTTTGCAGAGGTTTTTAGAGTGGGAAAACACAGCTCCTTTGGGGCTCTCTTGGGTGGATGCTTTCTGTCTTGGCAAGCATGTGGGAAGAAGACCTACTTTGTGAGACCGGTGTTGGGTTACTAACAGACCTGTTTGTTAGTTTTTCTGCTAAAAAGAGCGTCTGATGTCTAGGCAGGGTTCTAAAAACCATCCCACGAGGGCGGCTTGCTCGAGATAAAAGTACTGTCTGCTGGCTTACGCCAGGTGTCATCTTCTGTGAGGAGACAGCTCGGATGGCACGGTGACAGCAGACAGTCACCGCCTGTAACGCAGCAAACTACAAGTGCCAGGAGCTGATGCTGGTGTATCTGCTTCAAAAGAGTGTAGAGACAAAAGCGAGGGAGGTTAAGAGCAAAATTTTAAAGTTCCAGTCCAGAATCCATCTAAAAGACTGCAGAGATTTGTACATTCTAAAGACAGGATGTTTTCTGTACAAGGCTGGTCCCAAGCAATATTCTGCTTACTGTATTTATTTCATGAGGCCAAAATTAATGCCAGGGGACACACAGAGACCTTTAATAAAACTCTCCTAAACACCTGGGCACTTTGGCTATCGGCACTCTTCCCATGGTTAAGTTTTATGCAATAGCCTCATGCGACAGCAACCCTCAAATCCTTCTCCTGCCAATAACCTGGTTTTTGGGGTCCTTGTCGTGTAAATAGTTGTCAGCCACAGATGTGGGCAATGAGGGTGATGAGAGGTCCCACCTGATCCACCCAGGATAGAATAGATTTTAATCCATGGATTAGCAGAAAGAACAGACTGGATAATGCTATAATGGTCAGTAGTTCCTGCCTTATATTTCGCACAGAGCAAAAACTCTCCTCAAACAATATCACAGAGTGATTTGGGTTAGAATGGACCTTAGGGATTGTCTTGTACCCACTGCCTGCAGTGGGCAGGGACACCTTCCACTATCCCAGGCTGCTCCAAGTCCCATCCAGCCTGGCCTTGGGCACTTCCAGGGATCCAGGGGCAGCCACAGGGCCCCTGTGCCAGGGCCTGCCCACCCTCCCAGGGAGCAATTCCTTCCCAATATCCCATCTATCCCTGTGCTCTGTCAGTGTGAAGCCATTTCCCCCTGTCCCAAGTTCCTCTCAGCTTGCCTGGAGCCCGCTTAGGCACTGGCAGGAGTTCTAAGGCCTCATCTCCCCGGGGTCTTCTCCAAGTGGATACCCTGTGCTCTCCCAGGCTGGATCCAAAGCAGGGGGCTCCAGCCCCAAATAATTAATAACCAGGGCGGGCTTACAAACCCTTTACTGTTGTTGTTTGTTTGTTTGTGCGGTTTTGGTCGGTTTTTTGTTGTTGGTTTTTTTTTTTTTTTTTTTGTATTTTAACAAAAACACCTCAGTCTTCAAGGTTTTACCGCCTCCTTCCCGCTGAGGGCGCTGCTCTCCCGCCGCCGCCATCACCCTGAGGGGGCGTGGCCTCACCACCTCCGCCTCTAGGGGGCGCTGCTCTCCCGCCGCCGCCCCGCCCTGAGGGGCGCGGCCTCCCCGCCCCCGGGGGCGGGGCCGGCGGGGAGCGGCAGCCTCGGGGCGGGGCGCGGCCGCGCCGGGACCCCGCGGGGAGCGGGAGGAGGAGGAGGAGGAGGGAAAAAAAAGAAGGGAGGAAAGGAACGAAAGAGCTGGCGGCGGCAGGAGCGATGGTGAGCGGGGTGTGCGAGGCCGGTGTGCGGTGGAGAGAGAGGTGACCCGGCGCGGCCTGTGAGGCAGCGAGGCCCGGGCCTCGTCCGGCGGGGGCCGGGTGCGGGCTGGGGGGTCCCGCACGGGCCTCAGGGGATGCCTGGCCGAGCTCAGGGGATGTGAGGGTGGGTGGTCAGGCCCTCTCTTCGGCCCCCACTCGAGGCCCATACCCTTCTCCTGAACGTGAATGCGTCCTCTTATTGATACACTGCTTTCTTTATTCCCCACAATTACCTAGTTTCGGGGCAGAGAGGATTAGAAACGGGGTTTTCGCCTGTCTGTGGTTATCTTCACTTGGGTGGGGCGGAGTGATGTTTTCCTCAGGATTTTGGTGAAGGTGCTCATCTGGCTAAGAGAAATCGTGTTTGCTGATTGATTGTTGTTTTTTAGAGACACTGTTTGCTAACTGGCTATTATTTTTTAGCTAGACGCAAACTTCAAGATTGCTTGGAATATAGCTGTCCCTAGCCCACGTTGGCATGGCATGAATCTTGCAATTCCTCAAACCTGGAAGGGGTACTAGGTTTTTAGTTGTTTAATTGGGTTTTTTCCCCCCCTATCAACAAGGGAAATTGAAATCACGGCTGCTGAGTGATAAATGAAGCAGCATTATCTTTGTCCCACTCCTTTGTCCCGCTTGGTTACTGCATTCCCAAGCACCCAAGTGCTGCCGCTTCTTCCAGCTTTGGCGTGGAGCTGTGGGTAGCCTGGGACAGCACCAAGAGCCTGCACAGCTTGTGTTGGGGTTGCTTTCAGCTGCCAAAATTTGGCACTGGGTGAATAACTTTGCTTGTTGTGCAGGGGGCGGTCTAGACTGGCCTGGGGTGCTGGGGCCATGCTGTGTGGTCAGGCTGTTCTCACCTCAATCGCTTCTGTGCCAAAGCTTCGCGGAGAAAATTGCTGCTTATTGCAGCTGAAAGACCTGCTCAGGTCTGCTCTTTTATTCGCTAGATTAGACAGTAGCTATTGCACAGGATTCCTGGCTTCTGGAAAGCTTAGGAAGTTGGCTCTGTGCTCGGGGAATGAGGCTTCCTCTGGAGAAACACTGATACACAGCATTTTTCCTAAACTGTAGTTTCACTCTGTCATCCTTCCTGTGACCTTAGCAAAGGGCAGTGCGAGGCACTGGAATTTTTTTTACCTAGACAGAGTAAAATCTTTCTTTTTCCTGCTCATGGCCAGCCTACTCAGAGTTTCCCACTCTCTTACCCTTAGAAGTTGTATCTGAATCGCTGAGCAGGGGAGGGTCTGCTGAGGTGACACTTCACTCACTTCCTGCCTTGGATTTCTCCATCAGTGCTTGGTGGTGTGGAGATAAACCTAATCACAGCATTTATTGTGTGTGGTTTGCCTGGTGTGGCAGGAATCACGGCTGTGACTCCAGTGCTCAAAGGGAGTCCGCAGAGCCCCTTTCTGAGTAGGGATTTTGGGGTCCTGCTTGTCTCTTTTTCCAAATACGCAGCTTTGCACGATAAAAAGATGTCTCCATCTGATCTTCTCCTGCACCAGCTGCTTCCACCACAGAGCTGCTGGGAAGGACTTGGGGGTGCTGGTGGGTGACAGCTGACCCTGCCCTGGGCTGAGCCCCCAGCATGGGCAGCAGGGGAGGGGGGGATTCTGCCCCTGCTCAGGTGAGACCCCACCTGTAGAGCTGGCCCAGCACAGGAGGGACCTGGAGCTGCTGGAGGGAGTCCAGAGGAGGCAACAGGATGATTAAAGGGATGGAGCATCTCTGCTATGAGGAAAGGCTGGGAGAGATGGGATTGTTCAGCCTGGAGAAGAGAGGCTTTGGGGTGACGCAGTTGTGGCCTCCCGTATTTGAAGGAGCTGACAAGATCGATGGAGGGACGCTATTTACAAGAGACAAGGGGGAATGGCTCCACACTGACAGAATGTTAAGTTTAGATTAGATATTAAGAGATAATCTCTGCCTGTGAGGGTGGTGAGACCCTGGCCAGAGAAGCTGTGTCTGCCCCATCCCTGGAAGTGTCCCAGGCCAGGTTGGAGGGGCTTGGAGCCACCTGCTCTCTTGGAAGGTATCCCTGCCCATGGCAGGAGGATGGGATGGGATGAGATGATCTTCAAGGTCTCTTCCAAACCAAATGAGTCTGTGATTCTACAATTCTGTTGCTTCTATTCTTTGCATCCCAGGCAGTGAAAGACATTCCCTTTCAAGTACTAGCAGGCCTACCATATGCTTTAGTCCTGCCCTTAGAGCATGATCTGAGATTTAGGATTCTACCAATTGATGTAGCAGCAGGTGTTCTGGTCTATTTGCTGTGGTGCTTGTGATAGTTTTCTCTATTAGGAAATATTTGTATTTCCTAGAAATTTGCATGTGAAAGTTACCCAGAATCCTTTGTGTTCTGAGTGTTTCCTTTGCCTCTCCTTGCTCATCAAGCTTTATCCGTGCCGTATCGGGAAGAGCATGTGACTAGGTACTGCAGGGGTCCAAGGGTTCTGTGTGTTGGTGTTGATAAGATAATTTTTGAGGATTCTGCCCTATGGTTGGACTTGCCCAAGAGCAGGGCCCTTAATATATAATAGCAGCATTCAGTTTGTGCTGATACTGGGGGCTTTGTCCGAGGCTTGCATAAGCCTGCTGGGAAGCTGTGCCAGGGCTCCGTGCTGCCTTTGTTCATGGATGCCTGCTCCCAGAACAATTGCCATGCCGGGATCTGCTTCCAGACAGCTCCTGCCAAGACTTTGTGTCTTAATGCTGTGGGTACCTTCTGGTGGCACCCAGGTGCTCACAAAATATTTCAAAGAAATACCCATTTTATTCTCTGGAAGGCATGCAGGGATCTGAGGTTGAGAGGAGGCCAAGTGGAGGAATGAAATGTGTCCAGATGAGCCCCAGCATGCAGGGAATTGGGCACTGATTTTACCCTAATTATCGTGGGTGTCAGCACAGGACATTTCCTTGCATGTTCTTGGAGCTGGTGACCCACAGGGATCCGTGATGAGCTCACGTGCAGCATCCATTGGGTGGATCCTGTCTCTTGTGAGGTCTTTGCTGCTTGGAGTGTGCCTAGATGTTTGCAGAAACTTTAATAAATTGGTTTGTGTAAGTGAGCAAAGTGAACACGACACCTTGTGTGTATTTTGGGTTAAATGAAACTTGAACTTGAGTTTTGGAGCCCTTTGGGCTTCTGTAAAATCGTACCTTCCTTGAGCCTCCAATCAGTCTTTTCCCATTTTGTTTTGATAGTTTTACATTCCATCTCTGCAATGGAAGCTGGAATGCTGCTGTTCTTACTCTGACTTGCTGCCTTGTTTGTTTTTGTGCTGAAGCTATAATTAGCTGCTGTTTAGCCACTCCTCTTGATCTCTCAGGGCTGGTGGTACAGTATGTATACATTCATTTTGCAGACGCTATACGTGGCAACCTCCCTGCCCCCTCCCCCAACTGCTGTCATTCTGGAAAAAGAAAACTTTCAGTATGGCAATGTGGAAATAAATGCAATGCAGACGGTATTGGGGAGCTGTGGTAAGATGAGTGTGGCCTGAATGTGTTTTTAATTTCATGTACTTCAGCCCTTAAATCCAAAAGTTCATGATTTTTGATTTCTGAGAGATCACGCATCCAGCGATGCTCTGTCTGCCCACATCCTTTCGTCAGGCTGGGCAGCACGAGGTCCAAGCCTCCAGCTGTAATTAGGAGCTGACTAACAAATATTCCCTGCCTGGTGCTTATGCAAAGGTATTTGTCAGGCTGGGGTTGGCAGGGAGGGACGGAGGAGCAGAGGCATTACTGGGGTGCGAATCAAAACACCGCAGGCACAGGCAGCAGTGAGCACTCTCGGAGGAGGCTGGGGTGCTGTTGCTCAATCCCATTCCCGGCTCTCCGGTAGGAAGTCGGCAGGCTGGTGGCTGGGAGTCCGGTGCTTCCCTGCGGCCTGGCTGGTTACTCCGGTCAGATGCGCCTTTTGTGGCCAGAGCACGTGCAGGCAATGAGGTGTCAGCCAAGGCACGGCTAATTGAAGCCTTCCTTCTACTTAGGAACGGAATAAATAAGCGAGGCTGCCGTGTCCTTGCTGGCTCTGTGCTGTTTGTTTGCAGTCAGGAAGCTTCTCCTCGGAAAAACTCGTTGTGTTGGAGCAGAGGCCTTAATTACAGTGGCAGTACCGGTATTCTGCGTGCTCCCGTAATCGGAGCTGACCGAACTCGTGCTGTTGGAGCCATCTCCCTTGGCCCTGATTTACTGTGTGACAGCCACCTCCTGCCTCAGCTCTGGGGATGTGAGGGAAGCTGGTGGCAGACACAGACGTTCAGGTTAGGGTGTGGGGAAGTGGCCAGAGGGTCCCTAGTTTGGGCATATGTGTGGGTTCAGGTGAAAGCTGAGGATGTGATATAAACTGACAGAAAGCAGGTTTAGATTGGATAGTAGGAAGGAATTCTTCCCTGAGAGAGTGGGGAGGCCCTGGCACAGGGTTCCCACAGAAGCTGTGGCTGCCCCTGGATGCCTGGAAGTGTCCAAGGCCAGGCTGCATGGGGCTTGGAGCAGTCTGGGATAGTGGGAAGGTGTCCCTGCCTATGGCAGGAGTTTGGAACAAGCTGGGCTTTAAGGTCTCTTCCAGCCCAAGCCTTTCTGTGATTCTTTGATCTCAGCACTTCCTCCTCTCATGGTCAGCCTCATGGTATTGCATGACATAAACTTGCCTTTAAAAGCTACTTCTATTCTGTTGGCCCTGTTTTAAACCCACTTAAAACGTTCTTTTGGAGGAAAGAAGTTTCAGTTGATAAAATCTTCCTGTTTTTCTGCAGGTAAACTCAGACAGTGTTTCCATTTCCACAGAAACAGAAGGCACTTGTAACAGAAGTCTGAGGTTCTCCAGTTTATTGCCTTTCTGTTTCTCTCTCTTTTCTTGGTTTTTTTTTTTTTTTCTTTTTTTTCTTTTAAGCTTTTTTGTGTCCTAAACCTCGCAGAGGAAATGCTGTTCTGGCAAAAATACAAAATGTGCTCTCATTAGCTTTGGCATTCTTCCCCCCCTCCCTTTTCTGTCATCTGGGACAGAAGAGCATTACTGCAGTTAATTTGTGCTCTTTTGTAGTAGCATAAGTGCTATCCCTGGAACCAGCTCAGCTAGCTAATGGCTTTTAGAAGTAAAGTACTAAGGATGTATTCCTAATCTGTGCAGCTAAAAATTCAATATGTAAACTGCTTAGGTAGCTGAGTGCATTAGTATCAGTACAAATGAGCACTGCAAGTCCTAATGATAGCAATTAGTATTTTATCTGATACCTGGGTCTGTCTTACTGCTTTGAGAATTAAAAACAAATCCTCCAGTAGAGGTTTTTTTTTTCTCCCTGATCTTTAGTGTGCTCATAAATCAGGTTTTTAAACTGCTTCTAAAATAATCCTGTGGCTTGTGAAGCTTTTGTGGGGAAGGTTCTCTTACAGAAATAAAAACAGCTTATCTACTCTCTTCCAATGGGAAGGGAAACCTTTATTTTTTGATGCTTTAACAAATATGCAGGCTATTGTTTTACATGAAATGCTGTCCTGCAGACAGGTTTAAAATCAGGTCAGCCTGTGATCTTTAGCCCAGCTGGGGAAGCAGGACGAGTTTTTCACTCTGAGCAGCACCTCCAGGGCTGCAGGGCAAGGGGTTCCGATGGCTGGGCTACACAGAGGCTGTTTATTCTCCCAACCCCTTCCTGTAAAATGAGGAGGTGGTATGGGACTGCAATCATAGGGAATCCCAGAGTGGTTTGGGTTGGAAGGGACCTTGAAGATGATCCAGTGCCACCCACCTTCTGCTCAGCCACGTTGCTCCGAGCCCTGTCCAACCTGGGCTTGAACACTTCCAGGGATGGGGCAGCCACAGCTTCTCTGGGCCTCACCAACAGGGAAACCACAGGGAAAGATTCCTTCCTGACATCCCATCCAACCCTGCCCTCTGTCCGTGTGAAGCCACATTCCCTTGTCCTGTCACTCTGCTCATGCAAAAAGTCACTCTCTTTTTTATAAACTCCCTTTTAACCCAGCGTGTTCCTGGGTGTAATAAAAACATTTGAGTACAACCTTCTCAATGCCCTCTGGTTTCTGTGAGATTAAGTGAATAATTCAGAAAATAAAGTTTGCTGGATACTTTCAGGGAAAGGAGCATTTGGGAAAAACTTGAGTGCATGGTTAGCCAGGGAGCTGAGAAATTGTAATTCACTGCTAAATCCTCTTCTGTGCCAGCTTTCACTGTGTTTTTTAATCCCAGTCCTCCTAAATGGAGCAACCTCATCCTTCAAACTCATCAAAGTATGAAATGAGTGAAGAAGGAAAGTGAGAAATGCAGAGAAAACTTTACCTGGTCAAACCGTAACACTTGTGGATTGATTTCAGATTGAGCTTTTTAAGAAAGGGGAAGAAATTCTTCAATGTCTTAGATGGAACATAATGAAAATCTACTTTTATTTGTTCAAAACTTGGATATACCATTGAGTTCCCATATATCAGTGCTCAGGGGTTTCAATGACAACGAAATGTGCAGTCATCTGGAACCTTCTGTCCAGAGCTTTCTCCAAGAGTGAGGCCAATCTCTTGCCAGATTTAGTTATTTTAACTTGGCCATTGACTGGAGTGACTTCTGTCAAGGAGGTCATGTTCCATTTTGATTCAGGGCTTACAGCATCCTCCATCTTCAGGGGAAAAGAAAAATAGCACATCTCACTTTACATTTGATGTTGCAGCATTTTCTTGCCATGACTTGAGAACAGCTATTGAGAAACCAGCCCATTAGTGGCTCCATTTCCATCCTTTAAGTGCAGTTCCAAAACGGAGTGATATCCTGGCATTTCATCATGCTAGGCAAAGAACCAAAGTCATTGTCGCTGGTTAAACGCTCATTTCCAGGGATTTTCCAGTGAAGATTGTGCAAACTCGATGTAACTTAAGTAGCACCTCTGGTTAGCTGGAAAAGGTGGCTCTTCCTTTAAATTCCGAGGTTAAATTGGCTTTGTGGTGAGTGGCTTGGAGGATGGGACATTCATTAGCTGGGACATTACCTAATTGCAGCGGTTTGTGTGGCCTCCTTGTTTTGGAGGCTGAAGTGGCTCTGATGTATTTTCAAATTGCCCTTTGCCAAGTGAATAGGTGCTAATTTGCCCTCTCAGAGCTGAGTACTGCCTGCTTTTGCCCGGTTCAGTCTGTGTCCCTTCAGCCTGTGCTGGGACATGGGGGAAAACCCTCCTCTGCTGATGGTAAACACAGTTAATTCTGCCGGAGTTTGTTTGGGTTGCTTAAGTACTTTCAAACTGTGCCACATTATATGCATTTTACTGCTTTTCCAAAGCAGTTAGTATTCATTAGTGTTGCCTTTTGGTAAGGAAAGCTGTCTTCCTCCTTTGATTATTTGGAAAAGCTTGGCTATTGTTTCAGACTGTTAGCTGTATTGGACATGTTACCTCCTAAAAAAAAAGTTAATTAAATGCTTCTTCTGTTGTTGGCTTGACCCAGAAGTGAAACCTGTGAAGGGTCCTGAGAAGCAAAGTTTTAACAGTTTTTAATTTAGTGGTTTATTGAAAAACTGCTCTATTCCGACCCAAAGTCCAAAAGCACAGGAATCAAGGATTTATTCCCTCCAAGGTTTAGTTACAAATCTTTTGGAAGAACCCACATGTTTTCCTTCCCTGTTGTTTGGAGAGTGAAGCTCTCAAGTGCTGGAGATCTCCCCAGTTAAACTGGGCAGAACTGGGCTGCTCGAAAGAGGGATTTGGGAAGAGGGCTCTGTTCTTGCTTATTCTTTTTATCTCTAGAAACATTTTCCCAGAGAATTGGATGGAAGACTGCTGTTTAGGGGGAAATTCTCCTGTGCACATCCAGTTTTCCTCGCCCTGCTCTGATGCTCTTAAAGAGCATCTGGTTTGAAACTATTGATTAGGAACTTGGGCTGTGTCCCGACAGTAATTCCTGCTTTGACATTGTAATTGTGCTTGCATCACCATTTTCTGGGGGTTATTTTGGCGGCAGCAGTGTTTTCCTCTCCCATCCCCCCTTGGTGTGTAACATGCTAATTAGATCTTTAAATTAAGGACTTGCTGAGTGCTTCCATCTTCATTGAAAATCCAGCCCGAGGTACTTAATAGACCTGTTTTGGTGGTACCTTCACTCACCACCTGAAAATTCCTTGGAAAAAAATTATTAAAGCAGTTGCTTCTCTTGGGTAGTGGTAAGATCTGGTGGTGGTCCTTGGGACTGTGCAGAGAACCTTAGGTTGCTCATCTGCTCTTGGTGCTTCTCTCTCAGTATTTGAAGTTGCTCAAGGTGTGTATTTTTATCTGTGGCTCTTGAGTGCAGGTGAATAAAACCTGTCTCCTACCTGTTGTATTTGTGGGAATTAAGGAAAGCATCTGCATACCAGAAAGCACTTTTTTAATCAACAGTCGGCTCTTTGATGCCCTACTTGTTTTCATTTGCTCTTTCCTCAATATGCTCCTGGTTTTCCTTTGCACAGGATGCCATTATTCCCTACAAGGAAATCCTCCAGATGTACTGGGAGAAAGTGACAGCCTTTGTGAACGCCCGGTGTGATGGGCTTGAACCCTGGCAGCTCATTGGCTTGACCTTTTCTTCCACACTTGTAAGTGTGTGGCTGCATGGCTTCCTCTGCCAGCCTGAGAGTAAGTATTTGACATGGGGGATTTTCTTTCCTTTGGAGGGAGGGGAGGTGGCCCTGAGTTGTTCCTTGGCAGTGGGAAGAGGGTGGAACAAGGCCAAACACTTGTTAAAACAGACTTTCTGCTGTCACCTAATATTTACCAAACTCTCGTCTGAATTAAGGTCAAGGCCTGTTCTGGTAAATGAAGCTCCCCCATTCTGTCAGAGGGTGCATGGAATGTGCTTTTGTCTACTTCTCTTTCCCTTGCCTCCCTTCTTCCTTTGGCTAAACCATTTGCTTGTTACAACACTCTCTTCTTGCCCAAACCCTGGGGAGGTTTATGGAGAGCTGGGTTCCTGTGAACTTAGTCACTGCAGCAAAGTGTCTGGATAACTCTTGGTTGTTTCCCTTCCTGCTGGGGGAGGAGATGTGGTCTTGATTCCACGTTTGGGGCACATTTCATCCTCAGAATGTTCAAGATAATTGCATGTGATAGTGTGAGGATATTTTCTTCTTGTATTTTTTTTTTATATTTCCGGAGTATCTTCCTCTTCTGAGTGTTTTCTGATACTGGCTGCTCTTCAGTGGAGCTGAACTCTGCAGAACCTGCAGTTTTCTCTGGTCGTGTGATGGCCTGAGGTCACTGCCATGCCCTCAGAGGTGCATTTGAGTTCCCACAGGCCTTAGGGTTACACTCTGGTGGCAGCTTGTTAAAAATTGCCAAGTTTTTAACTTGGTGTCTCCTGTGTCTCTGTTTCTCAAGCAGCCCTTTCTCTTTGTAGAGACGGGGGCAGCTGAACAGTGGGAATGTCTGTAAGGAGCAAATTGGTATGAAACTTTTGTTCAGGATAGTTATCTTCCTAGTATTTGTACTGTTGCACAATGCATTTTGTTTAAGTATGGACTAGCTCTTAGAAGATCTGATTAGATTGTCAGAATTTTTCAGGAGTTTGCAGTCTTTACTTGCTGTGAATATTATTAATGAAACAGTGAACAGGAACACTGAGGTGTGCAACAGAAATGTTATTATCAGAGCACTAACAAGTATTTACTGCAGAATGTGCCAATTGGTGTCCTTGGTAGCTTTTCAGATTGTATATATGAAGTGAAATACATATGAAGTGTAGATAAAATTGCAAAGTCTTAAAATTGATGATTTTTAGACTTTATCTAGTTATTTTTTGGTTTGTCCTGTAACTGCAGGTGTGCAGGTAGGACTGGGAGCCACCATTTTTGGTGGCTGTAAAGCATCTGTGCCATCCCGATCTCATTCCTGCCTTTAGAGCTACCTGAGGAGTTTTCCAGTGCTTGTCATCAGTGGCTTCTCTCACTTGAGTCTTTGTGCTGTGGTGGAATTTCTGCTCTTCCCTCTGTCCATCCCCTTTCCCTGAGTCACCTCCCAGTGCATCAAATGTGGCAAATCCACGTTGTGTTGTGGCTGACGTTGTCACAAATTTTCCTGTTCCCTCCTTTGATCTGGGAGCCTGTTGCACACTGCTCTGTGGTTTTGTTTTCAAGTAATTAATCGGGTTTGAAGAGGAAGGAAATGATAATAATTCCTTACCTTTAGCAAACCCTGAAATCCCTCTTCTTCCTGTAAAATTCCACACGTGGGTGTGAATTCCCATGTAAGTAAGAAACAAGTGATTCCTGTAGATGGCTGCTGTTCTGCAGTCATGATGTTTCCATGGCATGGTCCAGCCTTAAAAACCTCGCTCTTGGATTCACTCATCTGTCTCACCATGTCCCCTGGGTCACTGTGTCGTTTCAGCTTGGATCAGGAATGCTGAGCCTGGATCATGAGCTGCATCAGAAGCTTTTTTTTTTTTTTTTTAATTTCTTAGGTTCCTTTCTGCCTTTTGTCTTTCAGGTTTGACATCCCGATCTAAAAAACAGTTCTTTAAACTGCTGAGAAAAATGCCATTTGTCGGGGCTATGGTAAGTATTTGAACAAGTACTTATAGAACAATTCCAGGTCCTTGTTTCAGCTCTCTTGGAGAACATACAGTTCTGTGCATCTTTGTTGTCATGTCCTTCTGATCTTAATGACCCAGGATATAGATCTGGAATGTCTTCTGCTGCCTCCTGGTTTAATGACAGATGTAATTTCTACCCAATCTTTTTGTCATAGTATCACACCCATAAGAAGGGAGTTCCACCTCTTTTTAACTTTCGAGCTGTTTATATTAACCAAGAACGAGTGAATTCTCCAGTAACATTTCCTCATTGTTAGATTTTAAGGAAATTATTTTAATTCTGGAACAAGGGACAGGATTGAAGTGGAGTTGTTTTTCTGAAGCAATGTGAAGTGTGAGATGGCCAAGGGTTTGTTGTGCAGTGTGGAATTTTAATCAATCAATGTGATTATTTTAATCAAGCAACTGGCCATGATTAGTTCAGGGCTCAGATAGCTATTAGCAAATGTTAGCAGAAGGATATCAGCACTTTGTGTAATCATTAAAATGACACACAAGCTGTAGTGTTTGGGAGTTTGGGAGCTGGTGTGTTGTTGGTTTTTTTTTTAATTTTGTTTTTTTGTATTTTTTTTTCTTTTTTTTTTTTTCATAAAAGCTTGAAACCACAACTGTCAGAATGTTTTAGCACGTTAACGACTCGGGATGAAGAAATGCACAGCTGGGTTTATTTTACCTTGTAAATGATGGTATCACACTTGATTGCACTTCCTGCTGCTTGCTGTGCTGGTGTATTGACACATTTATTCCACGGGTCAGATCTGCTCCAGGCAATTTTAACCAGAGAGAGCAGCACAGAGGATTATTTTTCCTTTTGCTGTGTAGATGGAAGGAGTTCTCCAGTTTCTCCCACATCCCTCTGGAAGGGACTAAATCCCTGGCCTGTTAAGTGCCCCAGCTTTCACCTCCTAACCTGAGTAACCCTTGACCAGACAAATTCTCTTCTGCTTATTGTTTCTTGCCTGCCTGTTAGAAAAGGACACTCTATACAATCCCTGTTGTGTTCACACTTCCTTTCTCAGGGCTGACACTGCTCCCCTGTGCCAGAGCATCCCTGCTCTGTGTCCTCTTTCTGCTCTTTGGTAGGGTGATACCTGATAACTTATCAGGTGCTGACAAGAGGCCTTGACTCTGAGACATTTCAGTGTCCAAAAGTCAATATCCCAATACCTGTGTTGCCTGGAAGAAGAATCTTTTCTTTGGAATGTGTTGTGAGAAGAACTCTGGAGTTTCCTGAGTGCAGGGTGTGGGTGGGAAGAAAGAAATCTCTGAACTGTGCCCGTGGTGGTGATTTCTTTATTGTGTCTCTGTTTTCATGAGTTTCTAAACCATGTATGTGGTGGTAGAGGAGGCAAGGTACAAACCAATGCATCTGGAGACCTCTACAGATTAAAAACTGTGACTTGAAAAGGTTTTCTGGATAAAAATGCAGGTTTTTTCCCTTGAGTTTTATTTTCTCAAGCACTAAGGAAAGGAGTCAAAGCTCCCAGTGGAGCAGTTCCTGTCTGTTCCAGCAACACCACAGCTGTGGGCAGTGGGTCCTGTCCTGCACACACTCAGCAATTATTTAGAATTTGACCAGTGCCATTGTTTGATAGGCTTTTTTCCTTTCTTTTTAGATTCAAAAGAAGATTGATGAAGCCTTGAATGATGTCACTTCCAGTTTATCTTTCCTGAAAGATGAAAAGGATTATATCAAGGCGCTGCCGGAACAAGGCATGAGCCAGCCTGAAGTGCTGCAGAAGATGAAAGAGTACAGCTCAAAAGGTGAGTCTGTACTGCAGCAGACACCACACATGATATTTCCTCTCTTAAATGAGTCCCAGTGACTCCTGCTCATGGTTTCAGCTTAAATATTTTGTCCTCTTGTAAATTTTTGTCTGTTTTTCTTCTGGACGTGACGAAGATGCATGAGATCTAATGCTGCATTCAGGAATTTACATTGAAATTCTGTTCCTTCCACAAGAATTCTAGGCTGATGGAGAGATGGCAGAGCTGAGGAGAGGAGACTTATGGAGGAAATTCTCTTTTTGGGTTGCATTTCTCAGCAGTTATCTTGATGTTTGACTTTTACCAGAAATGTGAAGCCCCAGAAAATACAATCAAAAAAAGCAACTTCCAAGTAGGATTGCTAGGGATTTTCCAAGACTGTCACCTCAGTTAAGAGAGACAATGGTTTGTGCCTTGAAAAAGCCTTTTAAGGAAGAGTGATGGTGATGTTCTCCTGGCTTGAGTCCACACAAGCTGTGTCTGACACTTAATTTGAGTTGCCTCTCATGTAAACATGTTCCCCCTGATTTGTGTGCCTGTTACTCCTAATGAGCAAATTTGGGTGACTTCCTGTGCAGAGAAGACACGACTGCCCTGTTCCCATCCCAAATTTGAGAAATGCCTTGAATTTTCTGCTAGAACAGTGCAGCTGCTCCAAATTCAGAAAGAAACAATTTCATGGTCAAGTATCCTGGAATAACTTCCTTCTTTTCTACTGCTGTGTATTGCTAATGTTGCTTCTGTCTGTGTTTTCAATTATTGTTTCCTTCCTTCACTGAGTTATTTTTCCTTTCCTAAAGTCCCCTCTGTTTCCCCATCCTAACCCCCCCAGTCCCCTCTGGAAGTGGCCTGGAAGTACCAGTTTAGGTTAAATTAAATCGAGGTGCTAGCACTGTGGATTTTAGCAGTACAAACTTGGCTTTTCTGTCCCTTCTCAGCTTACAGTGGTGGTGGGTGCTCTTTGAAAGTGGCTTTAATTTAGTGTCCAGTTGGTTGAGCAGCAGTTTGGGGAGACTGCTGGGGATTAAGTGGATTATTTATTAATATAACTGCTTGCTCCAGCTACATGTTCGTTATGTGCTGACTCTTTAGTCATCATTTACTTGCTGTTTGCTAAGTTCACACCATGCCAGGGGCTCAGCTTCACACACAGCTGTCCCTGGGCCACAAAACTTGGGGAAATCTCAAAAGCTGAGTCCTCCTCTGTGGAACTGAGGGGATTTTCTGTGTCCTTTTCCACCCTGGCTGAGAATGGCTGTGTTTGTGAGCCGTGTGCCCTTCCCTCTCTTCCAGGAGACGTACGCTGGCAGGATGGGAAAGTCTCCGGGACAGTGTACAGTGGTGAAGAGAAACTCACCCACCTGCTGGTGAAGGTAAAGTGCAAGCAGGCCAGCCTTGCATCTTCAGAGTGACCAGAAACCCCTCAGAGCTGTTCGAGCATCCCAAAATAAATAGGGAAGATCTAAAACTTAAGTCTGGGAATGGGAATTAGTGGCAATTTGGGCAGCGTAACTGGCCACGTAACCGTCCCTTTGAAAACACCTCGTAGAGATAACTGGAATCTAATCAGATGAGTGCTGTTTTGAGTGAGAAAGTAATTAGTAATTACAAGTGAGCTGGAGACTGGTACTGGAACAACTGTCACTGAGCAACTAAACTCCCCTTGGTTTGAGAAAAAGAGAAGCTTTGGGAAATGTTTTTTTGGCATGACTGTGTGGTCCAAGTCTTAGACAATGGAGCACTGGCATGATTCAGTGGCGTCTTTGTGAGGTCTGTTTACCTGCTCAGGAACTTGTCCCTTTTAGAAGGCTGCAAAATAACCTAAACAGCCTAAAGGTTTGTTTTCAAGTACATCTCCTTCCAGAGTTGTTTTGCTAGAAAGGGAAGTCTGGCCCTCTTGCTCCTGGGAACAGCTTTTGTAGCAGCTGTAATGGACTCTGGTGGTTGCTATTGCTGTTTTCTTCCTCATGTTGACATTTTCTGTGCCACTTTTGGGGAAACAAAGCTCAGAGCAGCCTGTCTGGAGGGGCCTCGGCTTGCATCACTTTGTGGAAACATTCCCTTTGTTTGTGCTGGCTATTCACTGGTTTGTTTTGCTGTATTTTATTTAACATCCCTGCAGTTGCTTTTTGATCTGGACTGCAGGAGGCTGTTCCAGCCTTGTATCCTGCGAGTCCACAGTTGTGGAATGAGCAGAAATGCTGGTTTCCACAGCCACTTTTCTTGTGGTGTGGGTGGGCATTTGTGCTTTACTGCCTGCTCCAGAACCCCCTCTTAAAAGTAAACTTGAGAACAAGTTCTGCAAAGTCACTTTTTTTTGCCTGATTTGTGTAAACCAGTTGCAAGATGTAGCTTATGTTCTTCTTTAAAAACAGCTAAATCATTAAATCTGTCCTTACCACAAGAGATGGTGCTATGCTATCACTCCAGAGGTCTGAATGCTTTAGAAAAATATTTATTTTTTCTTTATTTTACCCCTCAGTTTCCCAGATTGTGGCATTTACTTGCAGGCACATTTAAGTCCTGTAATATTCTTATGGTAAAATGCAGCTAATTTGCTTCTACAGTGCACATGGGGAGTTCTCAAAGCTTCATCTGCAAGTCTGACTTTCTCTCTTTGTTTCCTAAAGGTATATGAAGAGTTTGCCTGGAGTAATCCTCTCCATCCAGATATATTCCCTGGTCTGAGGAAGATGGAAGCAGAAGTAGTGAGGATTGCCTGTACGCTCTTCCACGGGGGTCCCAACTCCTGTGGTGCTGTAAGTAACCTGTCTTTGACAGCCTCCTGAACATTTTGGGTATTTTTGACTTTGATAAGTGCAAATGCACCTTGTACTCTCCAGGTGAGCATGAGGGAAAGCTCATTCTGGTGTATTCCATGCCAGCTGTGTGAAGATTGCTTAACTCCTCAGTGAAGCTTTATGGGAGACAATTTCACTCAGAGAAACAGTTCTCTAAACAAGACTGTTTACTTCAGCTTTTTTTTCCCACTCCTAAGTGACACAGGCTCTATGACAGTTGGAGAAGAGAGCTGGTGTAATGCAGCCTGGCTGGATGTCAGTGGGGAATTGTGAACAGAGAAGTGTCACTCTGAGAAGCTTGCCTCAGTTTTAGTCTCTGAGCTGGAAATCTGTGAGCCTGCCAGATTGCTGAGCTTGAGGGCAAGGCCAGCTGTCTGACTGGCTGGCTACCAACAAGCAGGCATGGCATGGATTGTCAGCTGTCCAGCTGGAAAGCTGTGTTTCCAAGTTCTTGTGGCCTTCCAGTGCAAACTAGTTTTACAGCCTTGATAAAATTCCCAGCAAGACTCCAAGTGTGTGTTCTTAAGTTGATGCTTTCAGTGTTGGAAGGCAGTGTTGACACAAGAGCTTATGAGCTGAACTGGCCTTGAGTGGGCTGTCCCTGTCAGCTGGAGGCTTGCTTGTGTTAAGGGGTTGAGTACTGGAGTAGCTTTGTAGAAGGTGTAGTTGGGAACAGACTCCCAGTGGGATTAAAGGTGAGCTCAACTCAGTGGGAGCGCAAGATGTGATTGCCTTTGAGAGGAGGAGGTGACACCCTCTGACCTGACTTTTCTTCTCAGGACTGTATTCCTTGTGCCACCTTCAAGTTTAGAGGAGGAATGTGCCTCTTTCTTATAAAAAACATTTCACCTCTCAACTCCTTCCCAGCTTGCAGTGCTGAGAACACTGGGGAGATTATCCCTGGAGATGGGCAGGGGCTGGGCATGAAGCTGTTGGAACTCGTTTCTATCAGCAGTTGGCACATCAGCTGATCCAGCAGGCAGAGAGCTGTGAGTCTCTGATGGGTGCTCAGGGAACTTTGCTTGCTGAAGCCTGCACCAGGGATCTTTGGGTTTTGTTGCGTAAAACACGATGTCAGAGTGTCAGCCTTGGCCCCCTGGGTGCTCTCCCACTGGAATGGAAAAGCGGAGCTGCCTCAGAGAGGGTCAGAGCAGGTAAAAAACTGCTGCAGCCAAAGTGAGACCTGCATGAATATACTCTGGGGAATCCTGCTTTTCCTTCTGTCCTCCTCTCGCTCCTGAGGACTGTGCCACAAAGCAAAGGGGGAAGTGCACAACCTGCTGTGGGATCCTGTCCTAGCTGCTTGAACACGGCCCCATTTGCAGGGAGAAGAGGAGGGCTGGGAAGTTGATTGGCTGGAAACGGAAGATTAATTGTACCCCTGTAATTATCATGTTTGATAATGAGTGTTTCCAGTGGACTTTTTTTCTTCCTCCCACTGCTCTTCCTGACTGTGAAGTGTCCAGAGTTGCTGATCTCTGATGGAGAGCTGTGGGTGGGTATATGGAGGTCACATCCTCTTTAAGTAGTTGGGCTGAAAGACTTCTCTTATTTTCTTCTCCCCAGAACTGAATTAACATTTCAGAATAATTTCTGGAGGCTTGGAGAATTACAAACTCAATTAAAAAGAGCATTTTTTTCAAACTGATGCTTTGCTTCCTGTCTTGGGGAAGGCCCTGCTGGTGCTACTCCTATAACTGGTGAGACTGTAAAGCAGAGAGGTTTTAATGCCAAACCAGGGAGGGTCCAATACTCTGAGTTATCTTTAAACTAGTCTGTTCAAGAGGGGCTGCTGGCTTGTTCTACTGAGAGGGCCTCTGGTTTACTCAATTCAACTTTTGCAGTGTTGAAATTTAGAACAACTGCTGTTTTCCCCCCTGGACTTCCTCGCTGCCACCTCTGAGAGGCAGAGTGTTGTAGTGCCAGGTACCTGTCCACTGGATTTACTAACCTGATTTAAGCAGCTGCTTGGCCAATTTATTGGTGTTGGTGGTGGTCCCTGAAGGCAGATGGAACTCTTTGGTGTTTCTGGAGAGGGTGTCTGTGTCAGTGCTGTGTGGAAAGCACTAAAAAGTTTCTGTCTGGACTTCTTATGAGGCAGTTTCACTTCCTTTGTGCTCCGATTTGCACAGCACTTTGTGGCAGTAATACTCTGCTGCTCAGTCTGGGAAAAGCAGCCCAGTAACACATCCATGTTGTTCTCAAGGTTTTCTGCAGCCCCCAGGTGTGCAGAATATCTGTGTGGTCCTGCTCTGTGTCGTGCAGACACCTCCCTCAGCAGGATCTCTGGGCAGCTTCCTCTTTGAAGGTGTTTCATAAATGCCAGAATGAAAACTGTCCTTTTTACATTTCTGAATGTTAAATCAGATGAGCAGCTTGCGTTATTCACAGGAGCTGATTTTAGCTGAGCCATGTGAGCTGTAATTCTCCTTCGTTGACATGGGCATAAAAGCTCTAACAATGCCCTGGTGGGGTTCAGACATGCCTTTGCCTTAAATTGCTCTGAGAGATGTTTCAAGTTTTTAAGCAGTTTTAAAAGTAATGATTTAAAGCAGTGGATGGATGCTTCCTATTTCTCACTAATTACTACTATTGTTCTTACTTTTAATTGTGCTATGCAAGAGCAAAGAGACAGGAATCGGTGAGTTTGGGTGCCTGGAAGATTCTAATCACGTTCTTGAAATGAATTGGAAGGACTAATTAAGCTCAGCACATAGAAGAGGAACAGGGGAGTTTGTCTGATGTGTTCATGTTCACAAGGTGCTTTGTTTTGCAGTGTTGGCTGTCTGGGTTTCCCCTGTAATTTGGGGAGAAATCACCACTTTTATGCAAGCTGCAGTATTTTTTTTAAGTAGCTTTTTGAACTTAAAAAAGAAAGGGCAGCTTTGAAGCGTAGGGAAAAATTCTGTGTGTGGGTGACATGTGAGTATTTGATGTTGAGCTCTCTGTGAATTCTTCTTCCACTTACTCTACAACTGAGGACAGGAGAGAGAAGGCAAAATCACCAGACACAAGCCTAAACCTCTTGTAGAAACTCATTTGTCTCTTCTTCCCCAAATTCTGTGGCTTCCAAATTTTGGCTGCACATTTGAAGTAGGGAGATGTGAGTGATGTGTCTTGAGGGAGGCTTAAACTGGGCAGATCTGTCAGATTTTGTCTGTAGTGATGAGCAGGTCACCTTGAGAGACACAAGTTGTGGAATTTACAACCTGCAGGTTTCCAGGGGTTTTATGGGAGTTATGACCATGCAGTGGATTGTGGTGTGGTTTTTTACTCTGTTGCCCTAGAAATAAACTGTAGTTTGCTTTTTTGCTTTTTTTTTTTTTTTTTAATTCATTGGGTGGTTCAGCTCAGTGAAATTTCTGGTCAGCTTTGTCTCCAGGGTCTGAATGGAGATGCTGAATGGACAGAAGTGGTTCTTTAATGTCTGACAGTTTGACAGTGACATGGCCAAAGGAATCCTGGAATAGGCACCGTATCTCTTATTGTAATGTTGGGGTTCCAGAGCACTGGGATTTGGAGGGAGGGTGCAATGGAAGCGATATACTGAGTTTGGAAAGCAGGAGGGATATTTATTCCCTGTGCTCTCTTCTCTCCCCTCCCATTTGCAAAACAACAAATAAACCAAGAACACAAAATGTCTGTTTACTTTCCTTTTCCCCCCACACCTTGCCTGGCCTTTGAAGATAGCACAGGGTTGCAGAACTGCTTAAAACAATGCCTGTTTCCAGCCCTTTTTCCCCTTGGCATGGCCCGAGCCTGTGGACTTTGAGGGGAGAGAAGAATGTGTGTGAGCTCCCGGTGGGTGCTGAATCACTGCGCGTTGGCTGGGTGCCGGCACTGCAGGCACTGGGGAAGTTGGGTCCTGTGACAGTGATTCAGGCTCTGGCTACAGCAGAACGAGTTTGCTGTCAGTGGCTAAGCTGACAAAGCCTCCTGTAAAGGAGCAGGCTCCATCCCCAGGTATAATCCATGTGGACCAAGAGGATTTTGTTGTGGAGCTGCACTGGGCTAAAGGTGCTGCTCCAGACTCAGGCACTTCTCTCTGGTGGAGACTCTCAATGTGCTGACTGTGGGCAAATTTAGGAAGCTGAGCTGGCTGAAATTCAGCTTTTTGGGTGGATTTTCAGCTGTCTGAACAAGCTTTCTGTGTGGTCGTCTGCATGCCAGTCTGGGTGCCTGTGAGAAGGATCCATCCTGGATCATCTTCCTTACCCTGCATGTGACTGACTGCTGACAAGTGTTGGCTCTGACCTACCAAAAACTGTGTGTGGCTCAGCATTTCCATGCTGGGGATACAGCCAGACTTCGAGGAAAGGCTTGTTCCATATGGAAGGCAAGATGTTGGTGTTTTGGTGTTAGGACTGAAATGGGAATAAGACTGTACAGAGGCTGCTTTTTCAAAAGCAGATTATCTAGGTGAGCGTAGGGAATGCTGCCCAGCAAGGAGCAGGCCTGGTGTTCAGTAACACGAATCCCAAGATCCCCACGTCTTTCCTAGCAAAGTTTTCACAATCGTTATCCTAAGCAGTGTTGCAAGGATAGCAACAAATATGCAATAATCCCATTCCTCTTCTCCCACCCAGTAGGAAGGCAGTCTATCACCAGCTGGGTTTTTTTTCCCAAAGGTAATCACAACCTGACAGATCTTTTCATAAAGGGCATTGAGAAGTGAGTGGCACAGCCCATAAAACCCTTAAAACATTGTGTTCCAGCTGCCATCCATTTGCTTCACAATTAATGCCAGTGATGTCTTCATCCAGTGTGAAGCTCTGTTAGGTTTTATCTCTGACAGCTGTTGCTTTTAAACTTCCCCCCAAAAACAGGAATTGTCTGTGGTATGACAGTCGCTTCCACACTGCCTGTGGCAGCAGCTGCTTCTGGCTTGGATGGTGGTAGGAACAAATCTTGGCAGGCTGTGAACTTTGTTCCTTATCTCTGTACTTCATGTTAGTCATTGTCACACAGTCAGGCTTGGCATTTTCAGGGTTTGCAGCCATGTCAGCAGGGAAAAACCAAAGGAAAACCCAAACTTCCAGATGTCATAAGGCATACAAATGGGATTGGGTCCTTTTTATGTTTATTTTTGAGGGGGGAAGAGGTTAAAAGGGGAAGTTGCCGTTGGTTCAGCAGGTCTGAGGAGCAAAATTAGCTCCCCATAAGCAGTCTAAGTAGATTTTTGATTCCTCATTTACCTGAACCTCTGTATAATTTTCCCAACTACCCCATATCCTCAAGTTATGGCTCACCCAGTAAGCCAGTCCTGCAGGCTGCTTGAAAAACCAACCTCACATTTTCCCAGGTTAAAATATTACTAGAAAAGGTTGTACCCAGCGTCCCCTGCATGCCAGAACTCATAAAAGCTGACCTGCAAGAGACCTCCCACTTGAGGAATTCCTTCCTGTGAAGAGTTTAATTTATGTATTTGCACCAGCTCTTGAGTTCAAGAATGCAATAGTAAACCTGTGTGTGCCTTCCTCTCTTCCACCTCCTGATGCAAACCCTGTGGTCAGGGTGAAGAGGGCTGGGGCAGCAGGGTTAGTGGGATCCTGAGGGACTGGCTGGGGAGAGGAATGCACAAATTTCTCCTGGTGTAAAATTTCTCGTGTCCCTGAGGGCTCAGAAGGTCTGGTGTTGAGGAGACCTTGGCTGGCCTCTGCAGAGAGGAGGTGGGAGAGAGCTCCGAGTCCTGCAGCATTCCAGTTTCTGGGAGGGTTTTGTGGCTCAGGAGTGGTGCCAACCCTGAGCTGACTCCATGCCTCAGCATGGCACTGCTCCAGACCTAATAAACCCTGCTGGACTTCAGCTGACTTAACACAGAATCAACTTTGTTGTTTCCGTATACGTGGCATAATTAATCTGTAATGCAGATAAACAATCCCCAGGTAATCAAGAGCTTAAGTACCAGTAGTTTGGTGAGGTGAGGTGACTGTGCAATGTGGTTCCCCTCCTGCTGGGCTCTGGAATTCTGTACTTTTTGTTTGTTTTCCCTTTCCCTCATCCCATTTAAATGGAGGATTCAACATTTAAAAGTGCATTTTCAAGCTGAGTGTCAGCTGCCTCTTGCTGTTCAGTGGCTTCTCCTGCTCTTTAAACCCTGAGTCATCCTGTGCACTTCTGAAGCAGAGGCAAGAGTTGCTGTGCCTGCATCCCTATTTTGCTTTTCCCTTCTGCAACACCCATTGTTATTTTTCCTTGTTTGCTTCTTTTCTGGTGACAGATGACATCAGGGGGGACTGAGAGCATCCTGATGGCCTGCAAGGCATACAGAGACCTGGCTTATGAGAGAGGCATCAAACAGCCAGAAATGTGAGTGGTGCCACTGCAGCTTTTTTCTTTGGGGGCTTGTGGGATTTACTGTCCCCCTTGTGCCAAGTGCTGGACCTCAATAATCCTTCATTTCATAGCTCATTGCTACCTATTCCTTGTCTGTCTCTGTCTGGAGGAGAGAAACCTGTGTGGAAAGAAGAGTTCAAAAGCACAAGAAGTTTTAAAGCAGCTTGAGGGGCACAGATGTTGCTGGGGGCTGTGCTGAGCAGCTGTAGTTTGGCAATACCTGTTTGCTGCTCTAGACAGCCTGCTCAGATCAGCTCTGCTCTCGAGCAGAGATTGTCAGGCCCTTTGAAGTATTCAAGGGGTTTGATTTATACAGATCAAAGAGGGCTTAGTCTGAAAACTCTGAGGCTGGAGTTGGGCTGGTTGGAGCTCAAATGAGGAATTGTGCTAATTATTACACTGCTAATGGAGGATTTGCTGTCTCTAATGTGCTGCCTCTTTTCTAGATGGTGCATGGAAAATATTTCTCTGGTTAATTGCTTTGAGGGGAAAATGTAAAAGGAATTGAAACACTGGTGGTTCTTTTCTTCCCTCTCAACATTTAAGGCTCTGATAATGATATGAGGCCTCAGAAAACAGGGTTAATGAAGGCTGTTCAGCCACTGCCACTCGAGATGGGAGACAGCAAATGTTATATTCATTTGATCTTTTCCTTTTCCAGGTTGGTCCCAGTGAGTGCCCATGCGGCCTTTGACAAGGCAGCACACTACTTTGGGATGAAGCTGATTCAAATACCACTGACCAAGGCTATGGAAGTGGATGTTCAGGTATCCCTTTAGTCTCTCTCTGTGAGGGAATTAACATTGCACAGCAACTAGGCAAGAAATCTACCCATCTTGCTACCCTCAGGTAGCAAGTCAGTGAATAAAGAGGGAGGAATAGTTTCTGTGAACAATGAAAAACAGCACAAGTAAGTGCCTGTCATTGCAGATGAAGTTGTATTTGAAATAACTGGATGTTATCCCTTTGTCCCATGGGAGTCATTCAGACTCAGGTAATTTATGTATTTCATAAATAGCCCCAGATTTCAGAGGGGGGTGAATGAAAATATTGTGGTATTTCCAAGTGGATGATGAGAGGTTGTTGCTCGTTGCTTTCCTCTCTGTACACTTTTATGCATTGTTTTTTAAGACCAGACTCTGCATATTCTTACTCTTTATCTTTCTTGGCAGGATGGCACTTGGTAAATGGAATGTGAGCATCTTCTCTCTTTAAATCTTCAGGCAATGAGGAGAGCTATCTCGAGGAACACAGCCATGCTGGTCTGCTCTGCTCCCCAGTTCCCACATGGAATTATGGACCCCATTGAAGAGGTGGCAGAGGTAGGTAGGATACCCCTACCTGCAGGAACTTGTGTGTTGTAGCAGTAAAACCAGCACAAGAAGAGTAGAGGGGTTCTAGGATGCTGAGCAGTGGATTTGGTGGGGGGATCTCACTGGCTGGAAGGTTATTACTGTCCTCAAATGAGCTGTTGACCAACAGCAGGGTGTGTAGGATGCAGCTTGGGATTGAGGGGGAATCTCAAAAATTTGGTGAGACAAACCAGAAGTACTTGTTCTTTGCTACCTGAAAGGAGAGAACACCTAAATGGCTCACCTGGTGAAAAGGCTTTGATTTAGGGCCTGCTGGTTGTAGCAAAATTGATGTGGAAGTCTGAGGAACGCTTGGAGGGAGTAGGAGTGAAAGGGCTGGGATCTTATTTTCTGAACACACCTCTTGATTTCTTTCCTCTCTGTGCTCCAGTTATTTATTTTGTATGTGACCAGGCAGGGCCTCTGACCTTCTGTTCATTTGGCTCACGCCTTTTTACTTTATTGAGGATACTCCTTTCAGACAATGTTGTCACAGTCCTTTGGCAAACACACCAAACTACCAAAAATGCCACGTGGTTTTTCCTGTGTGCAGGAAAAGGCATCCCACAAACAGCCAGCCCTTCCACATCACCTTGAGAGTGGTGTGATGCTCTCCAAGGGTTCAGTGAACATCTAACTGTAAAATGCCAAACTTATTTTGGTGACTGGAGTTTGGGTGCCCCAGCCACATCATTATGTTCTCTGATCTTTTGTTCACACACAGCTTGCAGTGAAGTACAAAATCCCCTTCCATGTGGATGCCTGCCTGGGTGGATTCCTTATTGCTTTCATGGACAAGGCAGGGTTCCCCCTAAAGCGTCCCTTTGACTTCCGTGTGGAAGGTGTGACCAGCATTTCTGCTGACACCCACAAGGTAAGGAAAGGGCAAGAGGGTCTTCCAGTGCTTACATTTTTGGGGTGTGATTCCTCTTGTCATCCTTGCCTTCAGGCATTTTTTCCCTACTGTGTGGAGGAACACTGAGGCGCAGGGGTAGGGGCTGCTCTGTTCACGTGCTTTGTGCAATGTGCTAAAGTACAGAACTCCTCAGGTTGGAAAAGACCTCCAAGGTTGAGTCCAACCTGTGACCTCACGTGATCAATCAGACCAGAACACTGAGTGCCACACCAGTCATTCTGTGAACACCTCCAGGCATGGAGACTCCACCACCTTCCTGGGCAGCCCCTTCAACCCTGACAGCCCCATTTTCCTCTTCCACAAAGAAATTTCTCCTGATTTCCAACCATAACCTCCCCTAGTACAACTTAAATCTGTGTCCTCTTGTCCTGTCATTTGTTTTCTCTGAGCAGAACCTGACCTCCCTCTGGCTGTTCCCTCCTGTCAGGGAGTTGTGCAGAGCCAGAAGGTTCCCCTGAGCCTCCTTGGCTCCAGGCTGAGCCCCTTTCCCAGCTCTCTCAGACGCTCCTGGGGCTCCAGCCCCTTCCCAGCTCCGTTCCCTGCCCTGGACACGCTCCAGCCCCTCCAGGGCTCTCCAGGGCTGTGAGGGTCCAGAACTGGATGCAGCACTCAAGGGCCCCCAACACTGCCCTGCTCCTGCTGGTCACACTATTCCCAATCCAGGCCAGGTGCCATTGCCACGTGGGCACACGGTGGCTCATGTACAGCCACTGCCACCAGCACCCCAAGGCCCTCTCCAGCTTTCCCCCAGCCTGGAGCTGCAGGGCTTTGCTGTGACCCCAGGGCAAGACCTGGCACTTTGCTTTGCTCTGCCCGTGGATCCAGCCTGTCCCAGGTGTTCTGCTCTCCAGCAGATCCACAAATGGCATCTTGGTGAGGATTTGGATACATTCCTGTGTCCTCTTGCTGCTTTCTAACCCTTTCTGTGCCCCTTGCAGTATGGCTACGCTCCCAAGGGCTCCTCGGTGGTGCTCTACAGTGACAAGGAGTACAGGAAGTACCAGTTCTTCATAGCCCCTGACTGGCAAGGGGGAATTTATGCCTCCCCCTCCGTGGCAGGCTCCAGGCCTGGTGGGATCATAGCTGCATGTTGGGCAACCCTGCTGCACATCGGAGAGTCGGGCTACGTGGAGGCTACGAAGAGGATCATTACAACAGCCCGTTTCCTCGAGTCTGAGTACGTGGGTGCCTCAGAGTTTGGATCCTGCTCTTCAGCCCTGGGCTGGACCCCTCCTCCAAAACTGCTTTTGTTTTCCCCTGGTACTTTCTTGGGGGGACCTACTGGGCAATTCTAGGAGAACGTTTGTTTGTGCCCAGATAGCTGAGGAACACAGATGGGAGGGGTGCAGGCACCTTTATTCTGCTTGGCTTTGAGAATTCCTTCTGCCTCAGCCGTGGCTGAGGGGGAATCTGGAGGGAGGACAAATGAAGGGTTATACTCTTCCTTGTTGGGATGCTTAGCTGGCTATCTAAGAGCTGATTTTCTCTGCTTTTCCGTCTTCTCTCTTTTCCATTTCTTCCTGAGTTTACTTGACTTTAGGGTATGTAATGACCCAGATCCTCTGGGAAGTCCCAAAGGCTCGGGCTGGGTGCATGATTTTTGGGTGGGAATGTGCTACCACCTGTTCCCTTCTGTAGCTTATCCTTTAATGCTCCAGCTGGGTGGACAGAATATCTGAACCCTGTAACCTTGATCAGTCATTTCTTTTCTCCTCCTTCTTTTCAAGGTTGAGAAAAATCGACAGCATCTTCATTTTTGGGAAGCCAGAGGTGTCTGTCCTCTCCATTGGCTCGGACACTTTTGACATCTATCGATTATCTAATTTTTTAGCTGCAAAAGGATGGAACTTGAATGTCCTACAGTTCCCACCAAGGTGAGTGTGTGGAGACCAGAGAGTGATGGATTTAGCCAGGGTATGCAAGATGGTCAACTTCAGGCCATGTAGCTCTTGTGATTTGCTGAGTACTTTTGTCCATAGCTGATAATTTGTATGTGGAATTTTCCTCTGCAGAGCAGGAATCACTTTTGTAATTGCCATTATACAGCAGTGAGGATAAAGTAATAGTAATTTTAATGAGCCTGGCAGAGGACATATCTGAGGCTCCCTTTCTGTTTACCTCTATATAATACAATCAGAGGAATATAAATAACCAAGGCTCTATCTCATGTTTAGTTAACTGAGGGTTTGTAGACTAATTTATTTATTTTTATTGTCTTCTTACTGCCCACTGAAGATGAAGGAAATTAAAACAGCAGTGAAGGGCTGATGATTGTCAATGTAAAATTAATCTTTGTCACAGACTTTCCTTAAGTGGGAAGTTGGGCTTCTGTGGGCAGAGGGGGCCAGTGGTCCCAGATGCAGCTGTACTGAAAAAAATTTTAACTGGCCATGTAAAGCCAAGTCCAGAGAGCTTGAGGGGATAGCTCAGAGGTGGGTGTTTCCTTCTGGTGGTGGCTTAGAAGCTGCAGAGGAAGGAGAGGGAAATGATGGCAGGGGTCACCATGCATGCTGGCAGCTGCCTATTTCTCACCAGAGGTACCTGGAATGAGGTGAGAAACTTTAACCTAATTGTGAAGTCAGGAAGGAGGGAAGAAGGAGCTGGTTCTAGCAAGCATTTAGCAGGGATTACCCTTAGTGAGTGTCTGTTTTAAGGAGATAGACAGTTATCACTGGCCACAGAAGGGCTCAGCTGCTGTTGGGTGCTCAGAAAACGTGGAGCTGTGTGTGCTGGAGGTGGTTAATCCCTGCCCTCTGCCCTGCCTGCCCAGCATCCATCTCTGCATCACGCAGCTGCACACGAAGCCCGGCGTTGCTGAGCAGTTCCTGAAGGATGTCAGGGACAGCATCCAGGACATCATGAAGGACCTCAACGCCAAGACCACCGGCATGGTGAGGAGCCCAGCACACAGTGAGGGGGGGTTTGGGCTGAGGGTGTTTCTCCTGTGTAACAGCCTGCTCTTCTCTGCTTAGGGAGCCATCTATGGAATGGCACAGTCGGTCCCAGACAGGAGCCTGGTAGCGGAGATTTCCCAGGCCTACCTGGATGGCCTCTACAGCACGGATGTTCCCAGCAGTGAAAAGCACATGAATGGCTCTCCCAGCCACCACTGACTGTAGTGCAACAATCGGTGCCTTGCCAGCGAGCACTGGGGTGGTTCCAAAGGTTTCCTAGGGAAAGAGATTGCAGTTCCTTTGTTCCTACAATTGCAGGCCTGAGGGTGGCTTGATCTGGAAATAATCCTTCCCTGTCTTAGTCTGTTCTGAAATCTGCATTGTTTTCATGCCCAATTTCTGTTTTAGGGCTTTTCCTCCCTCCCCCCTGCCTGTTTTCATCATGGCTATTGATGGTGAATTGAATGTCCATTCCACAGCTCCGAATTCCTCAGGTATTCTGCATGTCACTTCATTCCATGTTGTTTCTCCTCCTCAGACCTGGTATTCAGCCAGTGTCCAGCCAAGTGTTAAATTCGAGTTCTCACATTGTGTTCCATGGCTCCAGTCTTCCCGGAAGTTAATGGTAGACAGTAAATTGGAAATTCTGTTTTCTCTTGAGTATTCCTGTAGGCTGCTGCATTTAACAGACCATGCTGGGAGCCTTATATCTGTGTAATGCAGAGCTGATAAATTGGCAGAGGGAAGGTAGTGGCCTCCTTTTGAAATCCCCTCTGGAGATCTCAGTGAGACTGCAATCAATATCTACTGAGGGGGAGAAAAAAGCAACACAAAATCCTTTTCTGGAATCTCTTGGAACAACTGCAGAAATAGAAACCAAGCAGGTGGTGTAGGGAGAGGAACTGGATGGTACTGAAAACCCCGGGTACATTGTGGCTGTTTTGCTCCTCTGCCTCTTGAAGAAGACATGCCTTGACCACCCAGGAATGCTGTTTTCCCTTGCACAAATCTGGAGGGAGGTGCAAAGCTCATTTCACTGTTCAGAACTTGAAGGTTTTACACTGTCCCCTCACGATGCTGTAGCAGAGCCAGCCAGGCCCTGGCCCATGTCACAGCCAGGGACGTTGTGCATAGATGTTTTTTTTACCACGGTCTTTTAGTATCAAAAAGGTGACTTTTGTAATAGCAGTAATCTCAGCTCTTTGCACTGATTCTTTTAAGGCACATTCTCAAAAGGGCATTCACCATTGTGCCTTGATGCTTCTCTGGCTTTTTTTTTTTTGTGACATGCCAGGGAGGGTTGGAGGGTTCAGCTGTTTGACCATGACATTGTTTGTGGTCATTTCTTTATGGTACTAATTCTGAAAACAAACCTCAAAGGCAGGCTGGCCTCAGAGGAAGCACCCTTGCCTGTTAGGTAGGAAAGTAGTTGCAATGAGCCAAGTCCCTTCACAGTATTACAGAGATGCTGGGAGAAGCAGAGGAAAGGATGCAGCAAGTCAGAGGTGTTCCAGCCATGGGCACGTGGCTCAGCCTTCCTATTTTTCCCCACTGTTTTTAGTGTGAGAGTTTTCCTTGTGAGGCTGCTGTGGCCTCAAGGACAAGCCAGAATCTCTCAAGTTAATCCTGCAGGGCTTTCCCATGTTTCCTCTGAGCTTTTTGCATGGAGCAGAGAGGCGAAGACTTCACGCCGTGTCTGCACAGCCCTGTGCAGGGCATCTGAAGGCATCTCTCTGCTGTAGCCTGTCAGCCTGAAGCTGAAGCGCAGGAATTTTAAGGAATGAGAAGGTCACTGACAAGCTCCTGCACAAACCAGCGCAGCCTTGGGCCCAGCCATTGTGGGAAGGATCCTGGCTTTCCAACAGCTTTATTCCCTGTGCTAAGAGACACAAGCATTTTGGCCATCTGCCCTGAGCTTGATGACTTCATGTAAGTCTCTGAGCCCCTTTGAAATCATTGAATTGCCCAAGACTCTCTTGATGGTGGTATCAGCTCTGGCAGTTTGTGCTGGACCTGTTTGTTCTCTCAAGGTCTTGCCAATGTGGCCATTACTGTATCTCTGAGTTTGCAGTACTTTGGAGACAGTCTTCAGCGTCTGGCTACTGTGATGGTTCTCTTTGGAACCGAGATTTGACAAAACGAAACAAAAAAAAAAGGGGAGGTACTCTTTCTGTTTCTGCTTTAAAAGAAAGAAGGGGTGGGTGGATTAGGGTAGGTTGAAGGAGAGCAAAACTCCCTTCTCTTCCTTCCCTGGTTGCGTTTTCCTCCCAGGAATTAGGTGGATCTAACAGATCAGTGCTCCATTTCACATTTTTGGATGTTTTTGAAGATGTTATTTGTAAGTCAATGTATTCTATTCTAGGCTTTGCTTATTAATAATATTTGTGGGTTTAACCGTTCCATGTGTATTTGTCCCACACTATAAATGTAATCCTGTGGTCGGGAATAGGCCACTGTAATTCCCTGGTGTGTAGTTTTTATTCATCCTTGTCACCTAACATGTAATCTGCATCTACTTTATCATGCCAAATGGTCTTGGAAAAGTGGATTTACAGGCTGTGTGATTGTTTCAAAGACAAAAAAAAGAAGAAGAATTTGATGAACTGGATTATGATCTGAAACTGGACGGTACTTTTAGACCTGGGGGGGATCCTTGCCCCTGTTAATTCCTTTGGGATTTTCAGCTTTTCCAAGCGGGACGCTCAATTTGTTGCTTGTTAGAAAGCACTCCCAAGGGATTCACCTGTTCTTAGGTACTAGAATGAAGAGTATCCAATGGGATGGACCAAGAAGAGATGTGTGTCTTCATGCCATGGATTTCATCTGCACTTTTCTGATGACTTGGGGAAGAGGGGAGCGGAAGGGTTGCGTACAACACAATAATACCTTGCCCAATAAATCCATGAGGACTTTTGAATGGACAAATGGGATGAGTCAATCTGATGGCAGTTTTCTGCTTTGCTCTGATTTGCCACTGTTGAACTGGAGGCTGAAATAGCTGGAGAGCTGGTGAAAATGGGCCTGCATTTTAGCTATCTAGGCTCACTGAGCTCTTCTTTTTCTGCTTCAGTACTTGTTTGAATGAATGGGGACCTGTTGTTCCTGGAATTTGCTCCTGCACAGCCTGGTCTGTGACAGGGAGGATGGTTTATGAATCTTACTAACTCTGCCTGAGGACTGCTCTGTCCTTCTGTCAAAATGAAGGTGGTGTCCATGTCTGCATCTTGTGTGTCATGTTCCAGGATGCTGGAAGTTTTAAGAGCTATGGATTTTCTATCAATACTTTGTAGAACTTTAAAGGGTTAAAAAAAGAGAAGAAAAAAATACCTGAACTGAGTGTTTGTAGTGTTTTTCCCCGGACTTGTGCTGAAAGCAGATGCTGTTGGTTTCACATGGGATTGTTCATTGTATCAGTGAAGATCTTGGACCACCAAATCCACCCACCCTTCCTCTTTTTGGGAAGTGTTCCACCCTAAGCAGCCCCTGCCCTGGTGCCATGCTGCTTTTGTGCCTTTTGGTTGTACTTTGCCTGTGTTTGTGCCCCAGCTGTGATTTTACAAGAGCAATTTTTACCTGCCCTGGCTTTGATCATCTCTTTGTCTTTCAGACCCCAATTGCTCTGAAGTGAATGTACCTGCCATTTCTGTGTGAAGTTTTTCTGTGGCAGGGGCACCTTCTGGAGAGCAGTCAGGGCAGTACCTGCCCTTGGGAAAACCTGTTGGTGTCATTTGATCAGGGAGGCCTCTTTCCAAAAAGCCATCAGGTTAAATGAAATGTTTATTGTAAACATTTTTGGTTGGTATCCTACTAAAGGCTGGCTCCAGTCGGGGTGAGACCTGGATGTAATACTGCTAGAGAGGGGTTACAGCAATGACAAATTGCACAGCACCTTGCTGCTTGGTTACAGAGAAGCTAGAGGGTTCACAAAACACGTTTTAGGCAGAAAGCACATCCCAGGAGGTAAGGAGTAACGGGCTGGATGGGGGCAGGCTCTGGACAGATTTACTGGTGCAGTGGTGTAACTTGACTCTGGAAGGACATCGACCTGTTGGAGCCAGTCCAGGGGAGGCACCAAGATGGTCAGAGGGGATGAAGCACATCTGCTATGAGGAAAGGCTGAGGGAATTGGGATTGTTCAGCCCAGAGAAGAGAAGCTTTGGGATGACTTAATTGTAGCCTTCCAGTGCCTGAAGGAACCAACAAGAAACATGGAGAAGGACTTTTTACAAGAGCATGTAGTAACGGGACAAGGGGGGATGGATTCACACAGAATAGATTTAGATGGGATATTGGGAAGAAATTCTTCCCTGTGAGAGTGGCGAGGCCCTGGCACAGGGTGCCCAGAGCAGCTGTGGCTGCCCCTGGATCCCTGGCAGTGTCCAAGGCCAGGTTGGATGGGGCTTGGAGCAGCCTGGGATAGTGGAAGGTGTCCCTGCCCATGGCAGGGGGTGGAAGGAGAGGTGATCTTTAAGGATCCCTTCCAACCCAAACCATCCCATGACTCTTATGATATGACTGACTTCTGGTAAGAGGCTCAGCACGTGGGTGTGGGATCACATGGCTAAGAAAGGGTTTAAAGATGGAATTTGCAAGATTGGAGATGGATACGTGCACCTTGAGAAGTGCCTCCATCCATCTGAGCTGCGCTGGGGAGGCTGGCGAGGTGCTGGGCTGTCTGGATCCAGGATCTAGCTTGGAAGTGGGAAAATGCTTTTTGGGTGCAGCCATCTAGGCAGGACTCGGCGGCACAGAGGGTTTTTGGCTGCGTGGATCCCTGGTCAGGAGAGGGAAGCTGCCACCTGCTCGATGAAGCTGGCCAGGTTGATGTCTCGCTCCGATAAACCTCCGCAGTCGTGGGTGCTCAAGGTGATGTGAACCTACAGCAGACAGACAGGCCAAGGGTTGTTGACAGAAACAGCAGGACTGGATTTCCCAATGCTACATCTGATGAAGCAGTAGCTCCAAACTTGTTAGCAAGATTCCCTGGGGTGGCAGAGGCGCTCTGGCACTTTGCCTGGATTTTCTCCTTCCTACAGCTCATCCTGGCCACAGGCTGTCACTGCCACCTCTGCCTTGGTCACAGCAGCCACCTGTGCCCATTTTCAGCTCACTCTTTCCCCAGAAGCTTTTCCTGTGGCTGCTACTTGATACAGGTTTAAAAAAGCAAGCCTGGTGCCAGCCTGTGGCAGCTGCTCCTCAGCTGGACGGGGAAAAAGGAGGAAGAAAGGATCTGTGATAGCTGTAGGCTGGCTGTGATACAGGAGTAATAGCTGAGGGAAGAGGTCCTGCTGATGAGAACAGGACCTGTTTTATCCCTCAGAAAAGGGAGCTGCTCCCTGAAGTGCTCTGCTTTGTCCCCACCATCCGTGTTGCTTACCTTATTGTACACATTGAACCATTCGGGATGGTGATCCAGTTTTTCTGCCTGTAGAGCCACTCTGGTCATGAAGCCAAAGGCCTGAAGGGTAAGAAGGAAAGTTATCTCTGAACTACTTACCCTGCAGCATATTGGTTTTCACCCCATTACTATTAATTTTACGCTGCCAACCAAATGCAAGGCCTGGGATATTCTGGGAGTTTTCTATGGGTTTTCCTCCTCCTCAGGAGTCTTCCCCAGACAAACTCTATGCCGGGTCGAGCACTTTGGTGTCTTGGGCAGGTTATGTTGCTCAGCCATTCATGTCAGGAGTGACATGGAGGGCTTTCTTTGGCTGAGCTTTGCAGAGGGGACTCCCTGCTCCACAACCTGGCTGTAAAACTCCGTGGCCCTGGTGCTTGTACCCGGTTGAAGTCCTTGAAGTGGAACTCTTTGAAGATGGCATCTCTGCCTTCCACCTCGTTCCACCCCACAGCTCGCAGGTTTGGCAGCAGCTGCTCCCTCTCCTCCGTGCTCAGCCTGTGGGCTTTTCCTGCCTGGCAAGGAAAGGAAAGTGAAGAGGAGCAGGTCAGCGTGGCAGAAGTGGGATGAAGCAGATGTTTAGAGCAGTGAGGCAGCCCATGGGTCGTGGGGTTATGGGAACATGGAGGCAGCTGCAGAGTGGGTGGGAGGGTTGGAATATCAATGTCCTCTGCTCCCTGCCTGGAATACATCCTGCATGTACCAAGGAAGCCCAGCCAGTCCCTTCTGTCCTCTCACCTGCAACACCTCCCACAGTGCCTGAGGCACTAAGAAATCATAACCTGCATGAAGTTAAACTCCAAAATACATTTTCTTTTACATATAATCTTCTGGGGAAAAAAAAAAAAGCTTAAAAAGCTGAAGCTCTTGTGATCATTTCTAGATCTGAGAGCTGCTTTAGGGTTCTCCAAGCAGGAGGGCTTATTTATTTATTTATCTATTTATTTATTCATTCATTTATTGTGAGCCTGCTTTTGAGGAGAAAGAAGTGTGGATCAGAGATGAGTCACATTAAGCTGCAGTTCAGCTGCTTTTTCCATCTCCTTTATATTACAATGGATTTTAAGAGGCTGTTTCTGCCTGTGAGGAACAAAGGGCAAGAGGGGAGGGATTGTGGTTGAGCTCTGCCTTGGGCAGAGCTGCTGGTACTTAGTTTTTAAGGGGTGGTAGTGGGGAAGCAGCAGTTCTTGGCTTTGAGGAGTGTTTATAGGCAGAGATGAAACTAAAATTAAGCTCTTGGGGATGGGGGCTGCCCGAGCCAGCTCTGCTCTGGCTCAGCGGGGAAGGCAGGAAAGAGTGCAGAGGGGCACTGCTCTCTGAAATATTATGTTCTGGCAATTAAAATTCTTTCACAGAATCACAGATTGTTCTGAGTTGGAAGGGACCCACAAGGATCATCAAACTCCAACTCCTGGCCCTGCACAGGACAGCCCCAAGAATCTAGCCGTGTGCCTGAGAAGTCCTTGAGCTCTGGCAGGTTTGGGTGAGTTGATCTTTCCAGTTGGTGATGATGATATAGGCCTCTTTGCAATTTATTTTCTTTTATGTGCTGTAGAGCCAAGTATAGCAAGCCAGATATGAGTTTTGACAAATCTGACCCAGTTTTTTATGGGTATTTGGTCAGCAGCCCCTTGAGACACTTTGCTTGGGCATCATTTCTCAGAAATGGCACCTTAAACAACAGAGCAACTGAGGCAAATCATCCTCTCCTATGGTTTTCCTGCTCACAGGATGTACAGAACCAAAGAACCAGCTGTGAAACGAATGTTTTTGTGTGTGGTTCTTGCATGTTTTTGGGAAGATTGGAAAGGTGATACCCCATTCCCATGGCTGAGTGGTTGCCTACATGTCTGTGTATCCATGACCCTTAGACTGCACGGAATGCAGAGTGCCAGGGTGTCACTGAACCCTAGCGTGGGGTGGAATGCTTTCTCTCCCCCTGGCATTGCAGCTGCAGGATTTTTGGGGAAGGCCTTCCTTGCCTCTGCATATTTTGGACAATCCCCTGCCAGCCCCAGCTCTGTCACTCCCTCTCCACCCCCAAAATGTCAACGGAGCGCTGGGCTGGGAGGGAAGGCAGTGAGTAAACACGACTTAGCTCAATAAACCCTGAGCCGTTGCCCTTCCCTGCTGATGGTGTGATAAGCTGGGCACAGGTATCTTAGCAACTGGATAACGTGGGGACAGAGGATGGCTCTGCACAGGGCGCTGCCAGGGGGGCACCCCTGGGGGCTCTGATGGGAATAGGGCAGGGCTGCACCAGGATTTGGGACCAGGGGCTGGCTAAAACCTGCTCCTTGTGGGTGCTAACGAGAGGAGCTAAGGTAAAAGCTGGAGTTGTTGTTTGGAGCAGAGGGGTATGGATGCAGGGGGCTGGGTTCCAAACCAGCCTTCCCTGGGCAGAGCAACAAAGGGACATGGTGCAATTGTTCTTTTTCTCCGTGGTGTAAGTGGTGTAATTGTTCTTTTTCTCCGTTGTGACTCTGTGGGAGGATGGCCCCCGGGGCTTTTTCCAGTCCAGCTCCTCCCAGCACCAGGGGAAGGCATGGATGGCTGAGGTTTGGCCCACAGAGCACACAGAGCCAGCTCCTCTGGCTGTGCCACAGTGCAAACCCTCTGCCTGGAGCACTCCCCCTGCCCTCCATCCTGCTCCAATCCATCCTTCTCCACCCCAGGACATTGGCCAGCCTGCTGCTTTTGTCAAGAAGGCATGTTAATGCCTTCACTCCTTTAAAACGCACTCTTCTCATTAGGGAAATGAAATTATTTTGTTTTTTTCTGCTGGTCCTCAACTGCCAAAAAGTTGGGATTTTTATTTTTTTTTTTGCCAGCAGGAAACCAAGTAGATGCGTTGTGAAACTGAGGGAAAGGAACAGCATGGAAAATTGGGAGACTCTGAACCCTCATTCTCTAACTAAAATCTTCCCTTTTATAGAATCCTGGAATGGTTTGAGTTGGAAGGGACCTTAAAGCCCATCCAGTTCCACCCCCTGCCATGGGCAGGGACACCTTCCACTATCCCAGGTTGCTCCAAGCCCTGCCCAACCTGGCCTTGGACACTTCCAGGGATCCAGGGGCAGCCACAGCTGCTCTGGGCACCCTGTGCCAGGCCCTCCCCACCCTCACAGGGAAGGATTTTTTCCTAATGAAAGGTGGAATTTCCACCTAGGAGAAAGTACAGGAGTCAGCCCTGGGCGGGCAGGCAGGGCTGGACTGGTGCACTCCACAAGGCCCACGGGCTTTTGCTGCTGTGGAAAAGCCGATTTCCAGCCGGGCCGGGCGTGTTGCAGGGCTGTGCAGATGGAGCACACTTGGGTGGTCGTCCTTGCCCTACAGAATGTGGGGAGGGTCACTGCTGGGGGACCTTTTCCCTCCTCCTTGCAGAGGAATGAGCCTGGAGAGCACTGCCTTCGGAAATGGAGCAGGAGCCGGCGGAGCTCCCGCGTTACTGATTAACCGCAGCGCCCTGCTCCTTTCCCCCTTCCCTCCTGCCTCTCCTCGGAGCCTCCAGCTGCCGCTGGAGCATTTCTGCCTTCGAAAAGGCAGAACAAGCAGCCGGCTTTCCCCAGCAGCGAACTTACCATGGCCCGCGGCTCTCCGTGCCCTCCGTCCCCGCTGCGGGTGGGGTGATGCTCGCCGTGCCGGATCCCGCCGGAGCCGGGGCTCGTCCGGGATGGCGGGAGGCGTGGCGAGGCTACCGGGTCCACCCACGGCCAGCCGAGCCTTGCCAGCACTGGCCACCTGCCTGTGAGGCCGCACGGGGCCGTGGGGCTCCGGGGATGCCCAGACAGGCTGTCTCGGAAGCCCTGCACGGCACGATGCGCTTTCCCCCTGAACCGCGCACCCTTCTGCTGCGGGTCGCTTCCTTAGCCCGGGGCACAAGGAAAAGGTGGAGCGGCATGGAGGGGGCAGCTGGAGCCAGCACCGCTGGATGCTGCTGGCAGCAGGTGTGAGGAGGGTGATGGTGCATCCCGGAGCATCCTCGGCTGCGTTGTCTGGGACTGCCCGGGGACTGAGAACCGTGGGAATGGGGAGGAAGGAGGCCAAGTGCCCCACGCAACATTCCGAGCGTTCTTGATGTGTTTTCTGCCGTTGCGAGGGAGTGGTGTGTTCATGGATGCTGAGTGCTGCTCCCTGGCATTTTCCCTCTCCAGGCCAGATGGATTTGTGCCCATGTCCTGCAGCTCGTCGTCTGCTGAACCCACTCACATGACGGGCACTTTTCCAGTGCTGACAACAATTTTTTACTGTGCTGGTGTACGTGGCTGACAGAAATTCAGCCCCCTGCTATTCCCTCATGGCTTTCTTCACCTCTGAAGCAACTAATTCCAGATTTTTTTTTATTTTTTAATACAGTAGGACATACATCCCTTGTATATACTCTTGTGCACATTTTGTTTTCTACTGTAAGGGATTGTGGGTACCACAGAGATGATTTGTTTTTTCAGCAGGCAAGTTAGAAGGAAGCAGATCCTTTCCTTTTTTTTTTTTCTTCTTTTCTTTTTTCCCTCTGTAGTGTTTGCCAGGGTAATGAAAAGGAAAAATGAGCATCTTTTGTGTCCTGGGAGATCCTGAGTGCCTGTCCAGAGAGAAAAGACTTGCAGAGCAATGAAGCATCTCAGAAGAAAATAATTGTGTGTAGATGTGGGGCTGGAAGCTTTGCTGTGGATGGTAGGAGGAGGTGTGCTCTGAGGTTTCCAGCAATGAAATCAGGTGCTTGTAGGGTTGGGAAAGGCCAGCAGAATATTTTCTTGGCCTAAGCTGGAAGTGCAGGATTATCAATTTCATCACAGCCCAGAAGAGCCCCTGTAAATAATATTTTGAGCAGGTGAACTGAGGGCAGCTGGGCTGGGTGACAGTGCCTCTGTTGGCCTCCCTATTGATCTGGAGATGGGCAGGAAGCAAATCCCTCATGTTACCTGGCTTTCCCTTCATTGGATTTTACTCCAGAAATAGGATCTGATCCTATTTCTCTTGGCAACATGAGTGCTGCCAGTGCAGAGCAACTGATGGCCACCTCAGCTCCCTAGAGGTGGAGAACATCAGGAGAAGAAGGATTCCTTACACTGTCTTCTGACTGCTCAGCTCCTTTGTAATGGCATTTTCTCTCCAGCTTTTTCTGCCAACAGTTCATGAGAGGGGTCTCTTGCAGAGGAATGGACTGGTCCTGAAAAACAACAGAGCAGTTGAGATTTTCCTCACTCTACAGTGTGGAATTGTGTCCAGGGGAATCCTTTGGCTGACTCCTACACCTGAACCTCTAAGTTCCCCTTCTGCACAGTTTTAATTTCCCCATCTGAAATGGCACCCGTTAGGTTTGTTTTTAATGATTTATTGAGGGGTGTTGGGCAAGGTGTTTGCTCAGAGCAGTTTGCACCCTGTGCAAGGGGTGAACCTGTTTACTGGGAACAGATTTTTGCTCTTTTTCCCTTTCCTTTTTGTCTGTTTTACATCTGTGCTGCTTTTGGTGGCAGCTAAACCCACACATGTACAATATTCACCGTATTTGGAGGGAGGTCTCATACCACTCACTACTGATATTCTTATTTTGTCAATAACTTTTTAACAAAATATATCTTACCCTGAAAACTGCTTTGCTTGGAAGCAGTGTTCTGTCTCCCATCTCAAAATTTGCTTGTGCAGGGATAGATGGGATATTGGGAAGAAATTATTCCTTGTGGGTGTGGGGAGGCCCTGGCACAGGTTGCCCAGAGAAGCTGTGACCCAAAGGGTGTTTTAAACCAGGGTGGGCCAAACTCTTTCATCATCTGCAATCTGAAACATTGCTCTCATGGCACAATAGATTTAATTAAGGAGTTTGTTTAGCACTGGAGGGGATTTATGGCAGGTGTGACAAGTTTAAGTTGACAAAAGGGCCCAATAAAGAGAAATGAATCATTAATTAATTAATTATGTGTGAGATTTCCTCTTGTAGCAGTGTTTTATCAAAATCAGTGAGGCCCTCAGAGCAACAAACAAAATAAATCGGAGGCTGGCAGAAACTGGGGCCTTGTTCTGCTCACACTGTGTGTCAGGTTAAGGTCTTTTGTCTCAGGCAGAGTACCCTGCAAGGAAAATAAGGTGGGAAAAATGGCAATACAATAGCATAACCACTTCTAATATGTCAAACACATGAATCCCAAAGTGGTAGGTGACTGCTTCCAGGAATATCAGAGGATATAGGAGTGAGCAGTGTTTCACTAAAGGGAAGTGTCCCAGAGGAGGGTGATGATGCAAACCTGAGTCCAAGGTATCCGAGATCACTTTGCCATGGATCCCTTCTCCTATGTCAGACTGGTGCTGAAGTTCCAAGCCACTTCATGGAGAAACCTGGCATGGTTTAGAATAGGAAACTCAGAGTTGGGACAAAATAATCCTGTTTGGATTCTGTGTTTGCCCTTGGAACCAAACACAAGGGCCCTGGCTCCTGGCAGCTGATGTACCCCTGTGTCACAGGTCTGGTCCACCCCCTTCCCAAGAGTTTGCTCCATGGTCTGGAGCAGGCAGTGGTGACATCATGGAGTTTGCCTTGCCAAGGTCATCCAGGTCCCTGCAACAGGATGCATTTGCCCTGGGGGAAGGCAATCCATCAAAACTGCCTCCTCCCCACCCCTTGTTTTGTCTGCTTTGCTGATGGATTAGTCCTATAACTCGGCTTCCCTGGGCACAGCTGGAGCCCGGCGCAAGGGAAGCTTCTTGGATTCATTCTGCTTGTTTCCTGACTTTCAGCCCAAACCTGAGCCTCTTTGTTAAACAGGTTGGATTTTCTGGCAAATTTGCAGGGGTGACGGAGGGGTGAGTATCTTGACAGATCTGGAAACAGCTTTGTCACGTTAAAGAGTTTCGTTCCTTGTTTATTCATGAGAGTTCGGCTCTGCATGTTAAGCGGCTGCTGTACAGCCACGTCTTGTCACTAGGGGTCAGGAAAATGCTGGAAAACAAGGAATGTTCCTGGAACGGCAGTCTCTTGCAGGAGGGCACAGTGAGAGCTCTCAGAAACCTTCCTGGTCCCGAAAACCAGGAGTGGTTCCTGGCCCTGCAGAGCAGCTCTTCAGCTGGACCTTCGGGATCAGGTTGTTTCCCATGAGAACCATCTCCAGATCCTTCGGTTGTGTTCCAAAGCCATTGGAACATCAGTGCCATTGCTGGGACATGCTTGCCTTGAGGGTGTCTCTCCAGCCAGATTGCTAGAGATCATGGAATGGTTTGGATTGGAAGGGACCTTAAAGCCCATCCAGTGACACCTTCCACCATCCCAGGCTGCTCCAAGCCCCATCCAACCTGGCCTTGGACACTTCCAGGGACGGATCGGCCACAGCTTCTCTGGTCACCCTGTCCTAGTCCCTCTCCGCCCTCACACAGAAGAATTTCTTCCCAACATCCCCTCAAAATCCCTCCTCTTTCAGTTTAAAACCATTCCCCTTTGTCCTGTCGCTCCAGTTCCTGATGGAGAGCCCCTGCTCAGCTCGTAGGTCCCTACTGCAACAGGCTCTGCTAAATGCCGGTCCCCAGATCATTCAGCTGCCATTTCTGTTTTCAAGTCCTAGGGTTTTATTCCCAACTTTGCAGTTGTAGGAAAAAAGCAGTAAGGGGACAGGAGAGGGGCCCTGTGTGTGGATGTAAAGATGAATCATTTGTCTGTACAAATGTTTTATGGGGTAGGATTAGAGATGGTACGGACGCTTTTTGGGCGAACAAACCCTCTGATCAGAACCAGAAACATCAGGCTACAAAGCCAGTTGAAAACAGTTGCTCAGAGATTAGTGAGGTATTTAACACCTGGGGAAGCTTTAGAAGGAAGGAGGGATTTTAACACAGGAGATGCAGAGAGAAGAAAAAATATTCTAAGACAGCGATTTCCTTGGAGATAGAGAAGCAGTTTATAGGCCATGGCACATGATGAGGGTGCTAGAGTGGACAGAGGCCAACTCCAGGAGCTTTGCTATACAGTAGAATTGTGATTTTAGTTTCTTAAATCTGTCTGTGTGCTTTTCATAGTAGATTTTTTTTTTCTCCAATCAGGGCTGAGAGAGCAGACAGAGTGGTTTTGTTTTTTATTTTTTTGGTGACAAATGGTTGCCAGGTGGCTGGGGGGTGTGCCTGTCTCTCACAGATTGTCTGTGGGAGTGGGCTTGGGTGTTCAGCTTCATCTGTAGCCCTCCCAGGAGGTGAGCTGGGGAAGTGTGGAGGCACGGAGTAGTATCCAGGCATGGAATGTGGTGCACAGGGAGCTGCTGGAGAAACACTGCCAAATTTTGCATTTTTCTTAATGCACAACCTGCTACTGGAAACTCATGATATTCATGTCAGGTGCAGCACTGATTTTCTTTTTTTCCTTGTTAGCATTAAACACACTCTTTTGATGAGGTTACTCTCTTATTTACATTACCAATCTCTTCCTCCCCAGCCTAATGAGCTTTGTGCTGCTTCTCACAAACTGAATTCCTGTGCCCTGCTTGTTCTTGCTATTAGTGGGAAGGACCACTGGACCATGCTGTCTGCGCTGTTTGTTCAAAGCAGGATCAAAATTAATGGGAAAACTGTGTACGTGGCAATCTTAAGAACCCAAAATGCCACTGTGCCTCACCTGCTGGGGGTAGCAAATTAGGTAACAGAGCAGCTCGCTTCAAAGTCCGGGGATAAACAATTCCTGAGGCAGGCACGGAAAGGAGGG